AGTAAAACGAATAAAAAGAATAACAATATTAATGAACATTGTGGTATATTTTGGAGCAGACAGGACATGATGTTGACTATTTAGAATTTAACTACATCATAGATGATGTACTGGAAGCGGTATATTGGAAAACAATAGGTCGGTAGACGCCATGTCACAAGGGAGGCAATCATTGATTAGCCAATATGGAAGCTATATTTGAAGGAGAAATGGGAGTTTATCTTTTTTGAACAAGTAGAACAATTCCAAAAATAATAATAAAAATTACGAAGTGATAAGAAACAAAACAAAAATTAGATTAAACGCGCGCGCGCGCACACACACACACACACACACACACACATATATATATATATATATATATATATGAGATGATATATATTTTAATATATCAAGAACAGCATTGGAGAAATTGTATGACAAAGTAGAAAAGTTTACTTGTGACGTGTTTCGCCCTTCACAACATCATCGGACGAAATTTGTTATGTTGGTACGGCGACACGTGCACACAATTGATACTTATAATATCAGCAAACCAAATAAAAATACCCTAGTATAGATATATGAATATATGTGTATATGTGTATACACACACACACACACACACACACACACACACACACATATATATATATATATATATATATATATATATATATATGTATATTAGAATCTAAAAAAAAAAAAAAAAAATTTCGCTTGAAGATGGAACGGAGCTTAATATTTTAATTTAATTTAATTCAAATAATTATATTGAAGTTTTCGGCTCTTGTTTTGAAACATGAGAACTCTTATGTAGCGTGTTGGAATCATATTTTTTAAATAAATATATATATATATATATATATATATATATATATATATATATATATATATATATATATAAATCTATATACATAAATTTCCAAGAGGATAGAATCCAGGTAGAACTTAATATCCAGGACAGAGTAATAGTATAATAAAAAAAAACTCAAACACTAATATTCCATGGTTATAATTTATTACATTGGAATCGTAATCACGATCCAACTTACCAGAGCTACAAATTCAAAAAGAAATCTGAAAATATAACTCCGGGTATAAAAAAAAAAAAAAAAAAAATTAGTGAGAGTGTATGTGTGGAAGTGGGAAACAAGCGTGAAAGTGAAATGCATGAAAGCTCTAGAGAAAGCTATTGAAAGATGATCAGGAAAGACCTAAACGTGAATGGCGGCTAAAATTTAACAGAGAAAAGTTTTAAAGAGTAAAGTTATATAACGTTTTAAATGAGTGAGATACAGATAAATATGAATTATTTTTCGATGCATAATTCGCTACCGAATCGCTAACCTACATTAAAATTAAGAAACAGACACCGGAAACGTGTGTATAGATTTATGGTGACACTACGCACAATAAAAAACGATACGATCTAAACTTAAAATCCAGAAGATGAGAGAGAGAGGGAAAAAATGATGGCGAGGATAAACTAAAACGAAGGATATTTATAAGAGATCATGGAATATTAGTGTTTGAGCTTTTTTTTTATATATATATATATATATATATATATATATATATATATATATATATATATATATATATATCATGAGAATTTTTCGCACGTATCCTGTGTCCTTTCTCAATGAGAAAATAAAACAAAGTGAGACTTGGGGATTTTTTTCTTTTCCTAGATGTGTTATATTACTCATGAGATTTAGCAATTTTGGATTAACTTAAAACTATTAGATCTCATCATTATAACATTACTTTCATCGACCTGCTATATCTACACATCATAAGAGGCATGTACATACAATCTCTATTTACTATTTTATATATACTTGTGTATCATGCAACTTTTGAAGGCCTCATTCTGAAGCTAATTTTAAGGGGGTCGCATTATACAAGAGATATAAAATTAGCGTATGTACTGCTATATATCCATATGCTGTAGTCAAAATGCACACCTGTATTTAAAAATAAACATGATCTTCATAAAGTTAATACGTGTAATATCCACATATTAATATGTATATGTATAGTTAGCCACTCGTATTCGAAGATACCCGTCTACTAGGGCGACTAGCCAATCCCTATTGCTGACGCTTGCTCAGGCGCATTTGTGTTTATTCAACACCCACAGAGCTCACCTGTGGTTTATACTGCAACTATGATTAGTTACAGTATCTAGAAAAAACTGTTATATCTACTGTGATCAACAATTTGAACAAGGCCAGCACACTCATACCCTCGGCCACGATGACTTGTGATTTCAAGTGTTCTGTCTACCGAATTTCACTCACAAGGCTTGGGTCAACCGGTGGTATGATTTGTGCTGATAAAATCTGGAAGTTTCCATGACAAATCGACCATGATGAGATTCGAACCCAAGTCTCATGGCCACGAGTGGCAAGAACAATATAAGTCTAGCATTATAAAATACATATTAGTATGACTGTATGCGTTTACGCAACGAGTATAGCGTTACAAACAATAATTTTATCATTTTCTTTTATTTTTTGAAATCATTTAACTAGAAGATGGGATAAAGAGAAAAAGGAAAAGAAGTTAGTCTATTGTAATTTGGTCTCTGAAAAAATGAACTCGCATGATACACGTGATAAATGATAGCATTATTTTTTAATAAATGAAAATCTGGTGGTCGCATCATATGCGAGATCACGGCTTACACGAGTATATAAGGTAAATGAATAAATATACTTCGGTGAAACATCTTGAAATTAAACAAACTAAAGACTATGTGAAGATAAAAAGAAGTAACAATAAACGAGATTGGGACTTGAACTCGTCTCGTCGATACCATATTCTGCGCCGATAACCGTAGCGTTACCGACATATAACCGATAGAGATAAACTTGAAGAAATAAAATAGAAAGATGATATTGATATAATAAAAAATAAATTTAAGAAGGAAAGCCAACGGGAGAAATGTCAATCCGCGAAATTTTACGACGACCGCTGTTTAATACATAGAATCAGAAAGACAAAATTAATCACCATATAAATTCACCTGAAATTTACACTTGCCTTGATTCGCTTTCGTTGTTAATTCGTTTAGCTATCTGATCTCAGCCTTTATTTATTTCCCTGATATTAATATACAAATATCCGATTTATGCAACACTGAAAGTAGCTCGCAGTTGCGTTTTCTTTGGCGTCCTGAGAATTGTAGAATTTGTGAGATACAATTTCAACATCGTCTCTCTTTCACCCTATTGAATAATACTATTGAAGGAAAAATACATATCATGTCTTAGATGAAAGTTTTTTGCTTATTCGCGTTCGTATAAGCCAAAGTAATGTAACAACGTAAATGGAAACGCCCTGAACAGCATAAACACAAAATGATATTCAGCTTAAATTTATGCTTATTTTCTGTGCTTAAATAAGCCCCAAGTTCTCGACACACATTTACACATAATATATATATATATATATATATATATATATATATATATATATATATATATATATATATTATAGCCATTCGTAGAGATATTTGCAGAGCTTATCTTAGGCTTGCCAAATAAAATACAAAAAAGAAAAAAAAAGGCTGGTAATAAGAACAGACAACATCAGCATTTGTTATCGAGGCCTTCTTGTTATTAATCAATAAAAACCATACACACTAACTTTTTATATAAAATGATATGGAAGCAAATGATTTATGGCATCTGGTATGGTTGAGATTAACGAGCGAGAGAAGAGATATACCAAGGGACGTCGGTGTGTGATAAATAATAATTGGAGATTTAATTGGGGTACTGTTAATAAATGTCGGCTGCTCTACTGAATTAATTTTTTTTTAAAAAAATCAACAAAAAAAAAAGAAAAAACAAGAAATCTGTATGAAAATATTTTGTTGGTTGTTTTGTTTAGGTGCATATCGAAGTCTATGGGTTATTTAATGCAGATATATAAACATTTTGTACACAGTTTTAATTTATTATTGTTTTGGGATTTGAGATGGATTTAGTTTTAAAAGGGAACGGAAAGTATGATATTAAAATACGAAGGGACACTGGGATAGCCAAAGATGCCTTCCAAAAGCTAAGTAAAACATTAAGAAATAGGAAAAAACTTCGCTAGAAACAAGGAAGAAAATACGAAACTGAACGTGAAGTCATGCTTGACAATCTCCTCAAAGACGTAGAACAGACTTAAATCAACAGAAATGTGTTTTCACAGAAGGATACCGAGGATACTATGGATCGATTATACGATCAACCGAGTTTTAGAGAAAAAGGAAACAAAATGGAAACTTATACTTAGCATCAGGAAGATAGACAGTTGAAGTTTCTAAGGTACATAATGAGGATGGAAGGCTTAGAAAATTTTATACTCACAGGAAAGCTAAAAGTGAGATCGTCTTCCATACGAATAACACACTCAAATATTAGCGATAGACTAAACCATTTGAAAATTTGGGAGAACAACAAAAATAGCAAAAATATAATGAATAGTATTAGGAAGAGACAGTTGGATTTTCTAGGACATATAATGAGGAAAGAAGGCTTGGAAAATCTGATACTGACAGGACAGATTGAAGGCAAGCCGGGCAGAAGAAATCATCGCATAAAATACTTAGTGATCTTCAATAAATAGATGGCGAAACAGGGTTTAGAATAAATAAGAAAAAAAATATTAAGAGCTACAAAGGACAGTAAATTGTGGCGAGCCCTGGTCGTCTACATGATGAGAGGACACGGCGCACAAAGAAAAAAGAAGATACAAGTCTTACTAATTAATCAATAGTCGTGGGAGATTTATGCCTTTCCCAGGGTTATTTGTGCGTAAGTGAATATAACGAACCCAATATCAATTGGAACATGGCTGTCCCTTGAACAATTCCGAGCCATTATCCATTACACCACCTGGTATTCTTATCTATAATTATGTACTGAATTTTCATCTGCTTAACTTCGGTGATCTTAGTGGAACCGGTGTTTCTATGGGATATTGCATTAAGCCTATTACACCACTGCACATACAAGTTTACCGCATCTGACTTTCTCAAGCGTTCACCCATATAGATACTGTCCAGGCTCGACGTTGCTTAACTTCGGTGATCGTACGAGAACCGTTGTTTCAACGTGATGCGACCATAAGCAAGTATGGAAAAACTCCAGCTATTTAGTATTAACTAATGTACTAATATCTTTGGAAATTCAGGCATTCCCTTTCAAGATCCCTAGCGGCTGCTTCATCACGTTTTCAGTAGTTTGACATTACCTGCTTTTCAAGGGCGAGTTTAGCTTTGGCAAAAATCAGAAGTTGCGTGTTGCTAAATCCAAAACGTAGTGGTAGTGGTTGCAGCTGGTATACCTGAACGATGACTTGCGAAAACAGCTTACGAGTAAGGTGAAGAATTATAGTCTGTTAAAATCTAAGGTTGTTTTAGTTTAAGTTTAAAAGTACTAGTCTTAAGTCGTATATTTTGTTAGGTATTAATTATAAAGTGTGTAGAAACCTAGGAGATAGTTTGGTGGCATCACGCGACTTTCTCATATCAATAACCCTACATCAAAATAGCCGGCCTTCGGAACACGTTTTTTTGACTTGGAATTTCTGTTTTTGTTTTGTTTTATTTTATTTTTTTCAAGGTAAAGTTCTGTAAGTGAATGCATATAGAAAGTTAGTACCCGTATGTAAATCTCGCCATATCTGATGGCTGTTCGAGAGAAAAGTAGAAATTGACTTTAGTGAAAGTGGTAGTCCAGTTGCTGTTATGAATGACAATAAGCCGAATTATGTTAACCATGTTCACCATAGTCTATGAATATAGAATACAGCGCAGTAGGTAATCGGTTCAATGAAACAACGTTAAAGATTAATACTCACGAGTCAGACATTCTACTGAAGCCGCCTATATCACCAATACCACCATCTGTAATTTTTCAGTCTTCGATATCAAAGGCTGGCTGTCAGTGAATATTCGGGAAAAACATGGCCGCCTTTATACACGTCGCATTGAATATTTTGAGCCTTCTTATTGGTTAACCCTTCTATTAGTGAACTATAAAATGAGTCAACTCATTTTGGCTGGCTCACTAGTACTAAGGTACCCCAAAATTCCAACAAATTACACAGATGATGTCAATGCAGCTAAAAAAAAACAACCACTTTTCCGAAAGTCTATGTAAATCTTCAGGTGAGCCATTGTATTAGCTGTATCTTGGTCCGCAAAGGTCTGTGCAAAGTGGGTTGTATCAATGCTGACTGATTCCAGGCTCCTGAAGAGCTTCTGCGCTTGCACAAAAGGGATAGAATCTTTCGGGGGTGCACTGTCAGAGGAGACCTGTTTGAGCTATAGAATCCCCGGGGGCACAAAAAAAAAAAAAAATCAATGGATTGGTGCCGCCTAGACTCATTCAGAAAGTGGTGGTCAGTATGCTTTTGGAAAAGAATCATATCGTTGGATTTTTGTTCATTGGTACCATTACCAATTCTAGTACCAACAAGAGAAAAATTCTCTGAGAAACCCAGAATATGGGTTCACTGTGTTATTTCGATTTGATTTATTTATTTATTTTATTTTTTTCGCGAAGGGACAAGAAAAGAACTCACAGAAGCAGACATGCAATGACTGCCAATTTCTGGAGTTATCATCTCTGCAGTCCTAACATTGGGCAATTAGACTTTTATCTATTTGCGCTAAGTAAGGATGGATAATGGATAGCGGCTCGGATTGAGGAATCGTAGAGCCCTGTTCGAAATCCAGTCATATCCATTACATTCACTTACGAGCTAATACCCCTGGGAAAGGTATGAATCCTCTTCTCCCCACCCCTAACTATAAGTTAATAGCAGGAAAGACCGGGTTCTATAGCCTTATATGGCAACTGATCTACCTCAGAAAGAAATGGCAACCTACTGCGGGAAAAAATTAACGTCAGTCATGTATCGAAAGATACATGATCGCCTAAGCGTGTATCACGCATGGCACATAACTGACTGAAACAGCAATAAAAATGCAGATGTATGTGTACCAATGGTTTTGAGATTATTCATATATGTTTGATAAATTACGTTACGAAAGAGTGACCACTAGGTAATCCCCTTGGCATATTTGAGAAGGTAATTAGAATAATCCAGAACCTATACTGGCAGCCAACTGCCTACATACCGAAAGAAAATGAGTTCAGTAAATAAATAAAAATAGAAAGAGTATGTAAGAGAAAGATGTGTTTTTTCGGATTTCTTTAGTCTAATCAGTGAAGAGCAGTTCTGAGTGAATCAGAAGTTCTACCAAGATTCATTATTGGCGACCGGAATCGTAACAATCGTAACGTAAGGTATGAAAAGACACAGTATTGATAACAGACACAAAAAGGAAAATATAGATAATAGTGAAGGAAGGCGAGAAGAAAGGACTAAGCATCAACTACAAGAAGACAAAAGGCATTGTTGTTAGCAAAAGACACAGCTCAACATGTAAATTATTAATTGGAGATACGAAAAGTCCAACAATTTAATCTGAGAAGTGTTTTAAAAAAGGCCGGAATTTGGGACACTGAAATACGAAGTATGATGCCTTCCAAAAACTAAGCAAAGTATTAAGAAACCGACAAAAATTGTTAGCAACAAAGAAAATACAACTGAAATGTTATATAATATTAGTTTTACTATATGGCAATGAATGCTGGATAATTTCCTCACAGATAAAGAGAAACTTGTTGCAACAGAAATATGTTTTTACAGAAAGATGTTAGGAATACCACGAAACTATTATGTGAGCAACGTTGAAGTTTTAGAGGAAATGAAAACAAGAAGGGCACATAACATCAGAAAGAGACAGTTGAAATTTCGATGAGGAAAGGGGGCTCGGAAAATTTGATGTTCACAGGACAGATTGAAAGAAGTAGGGACAGAGGGAACAGTGTATACCCTACCTAGCGAGCTTTATGGGATGGTGCAAAAAGGTTTAGGAGAGATAACAAAAAGACAGAATTTATTAAGAGCTACGAAGAACAAGAAATTGTGGAGAGCCATGATCGCCAACGTCCTCAATTGTCTACACACAAAGAAGAAGACAGTAAGAAGACAGATGATAACAGTTCTCCAAAGATGAGAGGGAAGAGGCAAATGAAAAGAACAAAGAATCTTTTGAAATTATATATGTTATAAGATAATGGCCGAGTGATTTCCGACAATAGTACCCGGGTTCAGATTTCACTATGGTCGATTTTTCAGGAAAGTGATATATTGATGTTATCTTGGGGAGATGATCGCAGCGTGCAGAATAATTGGAAAGTGATTCAAAACCATACCATAAGTTAACTCAAGTCTTATGTGTGAAATTAGATAGGCGGAACCGTTCGGTGGCTGTTGCTGGAGCTGTTAGCCTAATGTGACAAGTCATCGTAATCGAAGGCTTGAGCTTACTAGACTTTCTCAAACTGTTGATCATGCCAACTATACTCTCTCTCTGTCTCTCTCTCTCTCACACACACACACACACACACACACAGAACTGTAACTGAGGTCCGCTCATCTCAGCTGGGCTCTGTAAGTGTTGTACAAACACAAATGTGTCTGAATAGGTGTCTACGATAGGGATTGGATAACTGCTGTAGAAGATCCTCAGAAACAGGTTCTCATTCAAATGCGGAATATAACGAAAAACATTTTTTGGCGCATTTTGGTAAAATCTGTGTGCTTCTACCAGTAAATCCTTTGCAAGAAGCGCATTACTTTTTTGACAGGCAATTGTACTTTAAATTGCTGGATAATTCCCGGACATTTTGTGGATTCGCAAAATCTTCCCATTCTTTCACTGCCCCTTGATTAAACAGTGCAATCCATCAGTCGTTTCAGACGTTCTGCTTGTTCAAGACATTTCAGACTATCGATCACTTTCCGTGGATTCCCGCCTACGTTTGAAAATTGATATTGGCTTGGCGCAATGAATTCTCTCAGAAAATCTTCTTAATCATTGGAATATTCTCACGGATGAATAACCAAGTTACCAGGAAAACTTGATGTCATTTCATTTTGAATGAGACACTCACACAACACAATAGCGTTTCACAGCCGACTGACTTAACCGATGGAGAATGCGAAGTAAGATCTTCTCTCATTGGTTAATAAATTACAATACATCATCGAGGAAGTTTTTTTTTCAAGGTATTGCTGGATGTTTTCTCTAACGGATAATGTATAGCTAACATTTTCATTATTCACAATTGAGCAAAATATTCAGTCGACGTTGAAGTTGGTCAATAATAAAACTGATAGTTAGAGATATTGACAAATTTTTGTTTAGTTTAGCGAAAAATTGCATAAAAGAGACACCCATGTGTACTTTTCTTTTTATGTGCCATGTCCTTTCAGGACGTAGGCGATCATGGCTCTCCACCTCCCTCTCTCCCTTGTAGCTCTCAGTAGTCTCTTTCTCTTTGCTTCCTCCCTTAGACCACGTTCTGTCATCCACCTGCTCAAGTTCGGCAAGAATGTCACGCGCTGCTTTCCTTTGTCTCTTTTTCCTTCTATTCGATTCGTGAGTATCAGATTCTCCAAGCCCCTCTTCCTCATTATGTGTCCCAGAAATTTCAGCTACCTCTTTCTGATGTTAAGTATAAGCATTCACCTTGTTTGCAACCTCTCTAAGACCTCATCGTTGCTCATATGCTTGGTCCAGGTTATACTTAGCATCCTTCTGTAAAACCATATCTCCGTCTTCTTCATCTCTGAGGAAATCGTCCAACATTCGCTGTCGTAAAGAAGGAAAGATGTCACGATCAGCTCAGTATTTTTTTCTTTGTTACTAAAGAAATCCTCCTGTCTCGCAATTCTCTGATCAGTTTTTGGGATGTGTCCTTGGCCATTCTAATACGTCAACGGATCTCAGTCTCGCACTTACCGTCCTTTGTCAAGACGCTTCCCAGATATTTAAACTTCCGCGTCTGTTTGATTCTAGAGTTCCCGACCTACAAATCGTATTTCGATCTCATCCTTTTACTGATGACCGTGCATTCTGTTTTCTTTGTAGTTTATACTTAGTCCCTTCTTCACACTTTCTGTCGATAGCTTCTTTTTGGAATTTTTCCTCCCTCTGCTATCAGTACATTACACTGTTTGTCTTTCTTGTCACTGATTCACACT